GAGACACTTCTCTTCTTGAAAAAGCACTCCTGTGTCTCCCCGCGTCTTTCTTCATTTTCCTCGCCGACTCCACCTCCACCTGAGGGAACCCCTGGACCCTGCGGGAGCTGGTCTCCTGCACACACCTGGGAAATTAGATATAAAAAGGACCACATGTCCTCACAGTCATGCTTTCTCTTACAAGGCCCCTGAGAGTCACCCTGATTGAATGAGCCTGATTTACTACTTATAATCAGTTCCTACGTTTTTACAACACCCGCAAGATAAATGATAACTTGTAGAAAACATAGAGATTGCAAACGTAATATCCTGGTCTTGATGACAGTTATTTTCCCTCTCAGGGAGTCAATGGTTATGGTGCCATTGCTCTGTGGGACATAACCCAGTTTGCATCTAACTTAGCAGGCTTATTCCAGCCATCACTGTTTTTCTTTCATTGATGTTACATGCATCAGTTTCATTCATTCTCCTGTTACCCAGCTTTATCAACCTCCTGCTTCTGTCATATTATGAGCTAAATAAATTATTCACGTTACACATTGTCATGAGGGTTTTCCTTTTCGATGTGCACCTCTGAAAGCTGCTTGGCTAAGGAGCGTCCATGACACAATACTAAGACACCTAGTTTGTGAAATCACGTGCTTCCGGAAAACACAATACTGAGAGGCCTTCTCATTTAACACTTAGACTGTGAGCTCTGGATAAGCGTTGCTGCTTTCAATCATATCACCAGAGTCTGTAAGAACAGAGTCAATCAGGTTTGAGCTGGAAGGATCTAAGTACTGAAGCAGCCCAGCCCTGGAGAAGCCAGTGGGCCTCTCCCCCTGCTTTGTCAGGACCTATGGGACCCCACTGTGATTACACAGCAGCACACGGATGGACGGTCAGTTCAAACTCTGTCTCTCAGGGAGATGTGTCCCCAACTCAGGTTTCCCTTGGTGGGGTTTGGCTTTCGATTGTCCTCATGTTGTTCACAAATCTTTGACAATTATATTTTCAATAGTCCTTACTTGGCAGAGCCAAATGGATCACATCTCCATCCCCCACATAGATGGCCCAGTCCTTATAGCCAATGTGGAAAATCTCAATCATGTCTCCAGGCTCAGGTTCTTCAAAAAACTGCAAGAGAAAACCAGAAATTGTGTGGACAGGCTTCTAGGCAACAGCAGAGACCCTGGCTGGGAAGCTGCAGCTTGGCCTGTGGACCCCCTTTGCTGATGTTAATCTCCTAGTGGGAGCCTTGATGATGGGGGGAGCACCTCTCCCCCGTGGAATCCCATGTTGCTTTCAGAGGGTCACCTCTGAGGGGGACCAGGAGCTACATCCCTGAAAAATGAACTTCTGGACAGGAGAACGGAGGATGGGCAGGGTGAACGTATGACGTGTGTGTTGTCTGTTGTGTGTTTTTATGTTTTATGTGTATGTTGGGTGTATGTGTGTGTTTTGTGTTGTGTGTCAGTGTCTATGTGTATGTTGTGTATGTGTGATCTGTGTGTGTACTGTGCATATGTATGTTGTGTGTGTGTTGTGTGTACATGCACACACTAGGATGCAGATGTGCATATGCAGGTGCACTGTGCACGTGTCCTGAGCGTGTTCACACACCAGCTGGCATGGAAAACCCTTTCCCCGAGGCTGCGGCCCCAGGCCCATCCCCAGCAACATCGGTCAGGTGAGTCTTGAGCTTCTCTGCCCTTTGCACATTGGCCCTCAGGTCCCCATCACGCCTCTTGCCCTGCTGTTCATGGCTGCAGCAGGCACCTCCTCACGCTCTGCCCCCTCCAGTCCCAGGACACCCACCTTTGGAGATGCCCACCTGAAAGATGGGAACTGACAGCATCCTCACAGGATCTTTGCCTTCAAGGGGCCTTTGTGCAACTACCCTACTTCCTGCACGGCTGAGGGGGAAAGGGGGTATTGGAGGCGGAGGGGCTGCCCACTCATACTGGTGTCTGCTAGCACTTTTCCTACCATACCTGCGACCCTCACACTCCCCAGGAGGAAGGAAGTGCCACCCGATTGCTCAGGTGGGGAAACTGAGGCTCAGAGAGGTAGAGAGACTTGCCCAAGAACACTCAGCTGGAAGTGGCCAAGCTCTGTCACATCTCTCTGTCCTGATTCGTCCCTGCCTCCCTCCCCTTCCCCACCTCCTTCCTCCTCCCCAATGTCCCCGCCCAGTGCACCTCAGCTTCGTGATTTGAGCGTTTTTCAGTTTTTCTTCCTCTTTGTGTCTGACCTCAGCAAATGACAAACCTCCTCCGGCCCTCATCCCAGAGTGTCCAATCTGAGACCTGAGACCAGGGGTCAGCTTCCGTTGGCCCATTTCTCATGCCAATATCCAACAACTGATTCGACCCTGGAAGTTTATCCTGATTCACTCTGATGTCCATCTCCTGCCCACTGACTTGGTTCAGGGCAGCCCAGTCCCTGCCTCTGTAACCCCCACGGCCTCCTGACTGGCCCCCTGCCTCCTGTCCCCACCACTCCATGTCCAGTCTCCCCAAGAACCACGGTGGCTTTCTCAAAGGGCTCATCTGGCCATGACCATTCTCTTACCCCAGGGCACAGGTATGCCCTTGGGCAGCTGGCTGGCCCCTCATGCCAGGCCCTTCCTCACCCTCCTCGCCCCCACTGTGCTCTGCCCCCCAGGCTGACTGGGTGACTTGCCCTTTCCCTCCCACAGAGCTCAATCTTGCTCTGCGCCTCTGCACAACCGCCTCTGTCTGCACCGACCACCTTCCCAGGCCCCTCCTCCATTTCTGCCCCATCAGACTCCCCTCCTCCGAGAAGCTGCCCTGAAGGCCCAGCTGCCACCCTGGGTCCCCAGACTCCTGGGACCTTCACCTCTCCCCACTTGGACCTTGTCGTGCTGCGGTTCCCTGTGTTCTCTGCACCATCTCTGGCCTTGGTGCTCTGGTCAGGGAGGGTGCTGTGTGATCGCTCTCCCTCATCGTGGGATCCAGCTAAGGGCCTGGCTTGGAGCGGGAGCAAAGCAGCTGTGTGAGGAGGAGGCCTGGAGGGTCAGTGTGGCCAGGACTCCTGCCCACCTCCTCCTCTCTGTCAGCCAGGGCAGGGCCAGCGGACAGATAGTCTCCATCTGGGGAGCACAAGGGGAGTATTCACTCTGAAATTAAAAGTCTAATTAAGGCACGGCCTGGGTCCTGTCCTCCGTGGCAGGTGGCAGAGGAAATGTGAGCTTGGGCCCTGCCTGGATAAGGAAATGTCTCCCCAGGCATTGATTTTGTTTTGGCNGAAAGTAAAGGGATGGAATAAGATATTTTATGCAACTGGAAATGAGAGAATGCACTACTGGCCGGGGATTGTGTTAAGGCATCTTACGTCATCTCTTGTAATTTCAACAAAACACAGTGAAGCAGTCATTACCACCCCCATATTAGAGATGAAGAAACGGAATCTCGAACTTTAGGAGCTCTTTATAGCATTATACAATTACTTGTAGTTGCTTCCTTTCCAAAGATTCTGGAGTCTACCATCAAGCAGTGGAAATAGGGAAGAGAGGGGTCACTGGATTCATTCATTTGATTCTTCAAGAAGCTCACAGTCTTGTTACAGTTGGTCCTTCCAAAGGCCAGTGAGAGAGGGAATCAGGCACAGAGAGGAACAGCTGGCCCGCAAAGCAGCCTCTAACTTCAGAATTTTTATTGGCTTCTTCAAGCTGTTGTTACTTTTGGTGACTATTATCATCAGATTAAAAGGACAATTGGGACGGCCACAGAAAATGTCATAGTTCGCATTGCATTTGCGCCCTGAAAAGTAGAAGAGCACACTGTTCAAGGAAATGTACAAGACTGATGCTCCCTCCCGCTCAAGCAACACAACAACATGTTAATTTTTCTGTCCATCCCAGAGACCTTTCCCCAGGGAAGAAGTTGACTGTCCTTAGGAGCTCACACCTTAGCAGCTCTCACCAGGGAGGCCCTCTGGGGGATAAGGTGATCCTATCTGTCTCCTGGTTCGTTCCTAACTCTCCCTGACAAGCCACAGGACTTTTCAGGATCTGCCTTCACAGCTGAGCTCACAGGTAAAGGACTGCACGTGCTTAGAGCCAGCCAGGCCCACCCTCAAAGGTCCTCCATCCAGCCCTTCATTCCACACATCAGGAAACTGAGGCCCAGGGAGGGACAGCAACCTGTCCACAAACCCTCAGTGGAATAGAAGCTGATTTGGGATTTGAGCTCAGATGACTCTATTTACAGGCAGCTCAGCACTTGGGAGGGATCCAGACAGCTGAGAGCGCAGAGGTGCCTTGAAATTGGGGACTGGAGGACCTTAGTGCCTCCTGGTAGGAGGCAGGAGAATGTGTGACATGGCAGCTTCAGAGCAAAGGGATCTATGCTGATAAGCCTGAGGTAAATCATGTGACTTCTCTGAGCCTTGGCTTCCTTTTCTGTAGAAAGAGATAAGAAATACTTGCCCTGATCACCCCACAGGCTTGTGGGAGGGAGATACTGTTGGTAACAGCAGCTCACATGTGAGCTGAGCTTCCCAATTTTCACAACACTCTTTAATTCAAACTATAAAGTGGATGGGACAGAGGCACTTGCCAATTTTCTGGATGAGGAAGCCAAGTCTAGTCAGTAAAGTGATCTGATAGCAGGTCTCCTGGTCGGTCAGTGAGAGTGCCAGAATCTGAACCAGCTATTCCTGACATACAGGGCAAGAAGCACCGGCTGGACTGCACCGGCGATCCTCTGAAAAGGATTTTCAAAGACAAGGAAGCAGTGGGATTCCATGGATACCACACTGGCTTTCCAATAAAAGCAACTGGTTCAACTTCTGAAGTGTCCACTTAGCTTTGGTGGCCTTGGGCAAGTTAAGTGCTTGGTCCTTTAGCGTTTGTGTTAGAGACGTCAGGAGGGCCCCTCTGATATTTGCCAACAGCTGCCCCACATCTTCCTGTAAACAGAACTCCAAAAAGAATCACCCCGTAGGGATCTTACCTGTTTGCTGTGTGAGCAGCCATATCTCACTGTAGTAGCAAAGTGCTCACAGTTTGACATTAAAACGTTGTAATGCCAGTTTTCACCAATTTTCTGCTTTGCCGAATTTACAATTTCATCTATTGGCCGTGGTCTATACTTGTTGTCCAAGTAGTTGTTAACTGTGTAATCGTTGTTCCTCACCACATCCTTCAAAGGTTCACATTTCACCTTGGCCACTGTATGGTTATTGTTGCTGAAAGAGCCAGATCCTGGAATCACAGACAGACACTCTGAGATGCTGCCATGTTCAGCAGTACATGGTTGGAAAAGGAGGGGAAGAAGGAAGGACAAAAAGTCCTGCTATTCTGTGAAACATGATTAATTGAACTGAGACAGTTAATTGTTCAAGACGGCTTTGTGCTTTTAAGGGCAAACATGAGTTCAATATTTGAGCGAAACATCACCTTCCAAGATAAACTTGGCTGGTTTTTCACAGCTGGATCTAAAAATCATGTCAGCTCTCTAGGAATTGAAGCCTTGTGAAATGGGGGTGGGAGGCAATTTTTGCTTTCCACTAAGGCTGACATTAAGCAATTGTGTGTCTATAATGAATCTTATCTGTCTTCTAAGGAGAAGCTCAATCAAGCAGCTAGTTTCTTGCCTAACCGAGGCTCTCATTAAAGAACCAGATATCAAAAATTAAGCTGAATTGCCTGCATTTAAAGCCAAAGGTTGCTGAAGCATTGCTTATCATTGGTGCTAACAGATGTTTATAGTAGGAGTCTTGGGAATGATAGTTGGTTCAACAGTACTTTGTTTCTCATACTACATGTGCTTCTTGGTCAAATGTTTCCTGTTAAAAGGAAGAAAGTGGTGCTACTCTAGGAAGACTGAGTTTTTGCCCTAGCAAATTTATTATACCACAGTACTACTTGTCATCTCAGTTTCATGGTTTCCATGAAGGTTAGGATGGTAGTGAGGAAACCTACATTTCAGTTCTTTAATGCCCTCTGCCTAATTTGATTTCAATTGAGAAGAGCCATCCATTACCAGGGTTTCTCAGAGTGCGCAGGGAAGACCACCTCCATGAAAATCACCTAGGATGTCTGTTTAAAATACCAATCTCTAGGCTCTGGGTCTACTCAATTAGAATACTGGGCCATGACACTCAGCCATCTGCACTTTAAATAAGGTTTCCCAGCTAATTCTTGTGCACACTGTTAGACAATCAGTAATTTCCATGCATGCTTCCCATGGCTGATAAAGAGCAATGATGCCATGAAAAAGGTAAGGAGCTGAAGTCACTACCACTTTTGGTTGGTTAAGCATCTAGTCTATAAAAATTCCTGTTGCCTTCACTACTTCTTTGAACACTACTGTGCAGTATATGAACTCAGCAACGTAAATAAAAAGTACTGTATTATATGATCCAGCAATTGCACACCTTGGCATATACCCAAACTAATTAAAAACAGGTGTTCATTCAATAACTTGTATTTGAGTGTTCATAGCAACACTATTCACAATAGCCAAATGTGGAAACAACCAAACTTCCATCAAGTGATCAATGGGTAAACAAAATGTGTTCTATCCATACAATGGAATATTATTCAGCCATATAAAGAAATAGGGTACTGATACATGCTAGATGAGTGAAGCTTGAGAACATGCTAAGTGAAAGAAGGCAGACACAAAAGGCTGCATATTGCATGATTTCTTTATATGAACAGGCAAATCTATAGAGACAAAGCAGATTAGTGGTTACCTGGGGCCAAGGAGGGGAAATGGGGAGTGACTCCTTAAAGGGTATGGGATTCCTCTCGGGTAATAAACATGTTCTGGAACCAGATAGAGGTGATGGTTGCACAGCATTTTGAATGTGCTAAATGTACGGAATTTGTACACTCTAAAATGGTTAAAATGGCAAATGTATTTTACTATAATTAAGGTACTGCACTATTAACACAAATTACATAGTATGAGTCATACCAAATTTTTTAAATCCTAGGGAAAGACTTAGATTAACTAGTCCTCTGTTCCATAGTCCTTTAAATAATATCGACTAGAGTTAAAAAAAAAAAGTTGCACTATTGACCTCTGAGTGCCACCATATTCCTTCCTCCTCCTCTCCTGCCCTCTCAGTTTCAGGATAAATGTAACATGAGTGCAATTGTTTGATACATAACTTTTGTAATGTAAATACTTCACATTGTGTTGCAAACATGTTCCCATAGCAAAAAAATGTAGGACTGTGTCATGAATTGAAATGACTGCCATGGTATTCCACTGATGTTGTACTGCATTTATTTCACAAACTGCCTCTTGTTAGGCATTTCGGGTGTTTAAGCTTGTTCTTCACTGTAAACAACGACATTATAAACAAGCTTGCAGATTATGCATCTCTGGGCCTGTGTCGGACTCAGATGAGTTTGAGTGTTTTGAGTACCTACCAGGAAGAAGTGGGCCTCATTCAATCCTCTTGCAATCCCTCTCATTTTGCAGAATCAATCATGAGCCAGAGAACTTAAGTAATATAACCAAGTGACAAAAGTTGTGAAGCAAGGATTGGAAACACTTCCAAAGGCCTGGCGATTTCTACCTTATTATGTACAAACTGTGTGGCTCAATGGCAAGAGAGAACTTTCTTCCCATTGTCTTACCTCCCATCACCTGGCATAGGTCTGGACACTTAAGAGAGGGTCACAACAGAACTGTCAACTGATGGAATCCACATTCTATTGCTCAGTGAATGAAGATCAGAGATGTTATAATTCAAAGGAAACAGATGCTGATTAGCACAGCCATGAGTGGTCCTTTTGTTACCTCTTCTCAAGATAAAGCTGGTGTTTAAACAAATAATTCATCTTTACCTGTAGTGGTCACATGGACCACACAACCATCTCCCACGTAGATGGCCCAATGCTTATAGAAATATCGATCAATTTCAATCATGTCTCCAGGTATGGGGTCTTGGTCCGACTACAAGAGAAAAACCAGAGAGAGTGTCCCAGGCTTGTAGGAACCACCAGGCCTGGCTGGGAGAGCTGCAGAACTGCTGGCTACCCTGCAGGGCCTAGTGGTGACCCAGGGAGAGGAGATCCCGGTGACTGCTTTGCTGTCACTCTCAGAGAACCCCCTTTGGGGACACTGGGAACAAAAAGCCTGGACAAAGGATGGGCTGAACACTTTCCCTCTCATTAGACTGGCCCTCAGGGCCCTTGCACATTTGTCCTGCCCCACTGTTGGGTGTTAACCTTGTCTTTTATTCTCTGCTCTGATACTTTGACCTCTTGAGCCTTATGGAAGCTGGAGAGACTGCCCCTCCCAGGGCTAGCCAGTTCCTGAAGGTAGCAAGCAACCCACACATAAATGTGCTTTTCAAATGCAAACCAACCAATCCAGAGCCCCACCTCCCCACCCCCACCCACAGCTACCGCCTTTAAGAGGCTCTCACACTCCAGGCCACCTTCCATCTACCCTGATCACCACAGGGCCAGGTAGCAGACAACTACAGCCAGCCCCCGTGCCCCAGAGCCTGTGGAAAGGATTCTCACGAGCCGGAGCCGTCCTCAGCCTGCTTCCCTGCCTCAATCCTTCTTCCCACAGACACTACGGTAAATTCTCTTGCCCACATTTCTCCCCATGTCCTCTGCCTCCCGACCAACCCAGTGCTTCCCCTCAAAACAAACACCCTGCCCCCTCCATCCCTGTGGCATAACGTGGCTTGTTCTCATCTTATGGGAACTGTGAGTAACAAACTCTTTTTCAATGGCATCATCTTTTGATCTGTTGTCCTTACTGAACCTCAAATAGCGTATCAATACATTATATTTTACAGCAGTTGTCCACAGCTTCATTGGGCAGCCTCCTCCTCAGAGTCTCTCTCCAACCCCTGGACACTCCTCAGTCATTCACCGTGAGACACAAAATGAAGTGTTCTTAGGGCTACACAATGGGCAGCTGGGCCAAGCATCAGACGTTGTGGTGACCACACAGCTACCGGTGGGAAAATTCCATAACATGCGTCCATCAGCACCTCAGTCTCACAAGGTACAATGATCTCCCAAGTCACAGGTGTTGGCACTGGCACAGGAGAGGTTAAGGGACTTACCCAACACCCCTCAGCCAGAAGTTCCTTTCTCTATTCCCACTTCCCACACTCGTCCCCCTGTGGGTTGCTCTTTTCTCCCCATTCGCACTCCCTTCCCGGGGATGCAGAACGGCCCCCCCCACATTCTGTTCCATCCCCCAGGAATGAAGCCGGTTCTTTGTCCCCTGTTCTCCCGCTGTTCTCCTTCCTTTGGGCGTTCCTCAGCCCAGGTTGCTCAATCAGAGGTTGGAGTCATCCTTCACTCCTCCTCCTCCCTGACCCCTGCATCCAGTTACCAAGTACCTTCAATGCCACCTTCGTCCCATGTCCCTTTCTCCTGACTTGGGTCACAGAAGTCCTTGTCCCTCACCTCTGGCTCCCATTCCAACCACTCCTTATCCACCTCCATGTCATCCAGTGGGACCTTCCAAAGGGAACATATGGCAATGACGTCCCTGGAGCCTCAGAATGAGTCCACACCCTTCAGGCAGCTCGGGGTCTGGCTCTAACACTCACCGCTCGTCACCCTCATCCCTCTTCGCTCCTCCCTCTGCTCTGCTCTGGGGAGCTACTTGTGTTCCCCTCACCTCGTGCTCTCTCTTGCTTCTGCTCCTTGGACATCGTCTTCTCTCTGCCTCCTAACACCCCCCAGGCCCTCTCCCTATAGCACAGATCTCCTCCCAGCAGACATCCTTTCACCCGAGGTGTCTCACTATCTCAGAACATCCCTCCTCCAGACTCCCGGGTCCTCAGGCATCTCCAGCTCTCTATGCACAGATGCATTTTCTGTACCTATCTGCCATCCTACCCTGGGTTTGGGATCTATTGGGGGTGGTAAGAGATGGGCCAGAGGACCAGCCTCTCAGCATCTCCTCCTTTATGACAGGGCCGGATCGTTGGCCAGGACACAGAGGGGTGAACTGACTTGGAGAAGGTCTCCCAGCTGGTCAGCAGCAGTNAGGTAGATGATAGCCTGTAGATAATTGCTAAGGTGCAACTATATTATTCTCATCGTGATGATGATTTTTGCCCAGTGACAGTGCAAACGCTTGGTGGAGAAGGTTATGGTGCCATCGCTCTGTAGGACAGGAGCCATTCTGCATCTCAGTTAGCAGTCTTATTCCAGCATCTTTTTTTCTTTCATTGACTATACATACATCTGTATCCTACATTCTCCTTTTGATTGGCTTTGTTATCCTGCTTCTTTTGCTATCAATGAATTAAATAACTCATTCGTAGGTACTCACATGCATTTGTATGAGACTTTGTCTTTCTGGTGTGTAAACCTGTGAGAGCTGCTCCTGTAAAGGAGCGTTAAGTAAATACTCCCAAGACACCTTGTTCTGTGAGATCATATGAGTGCAAAGGACATAATGCTGACAGGCATTCTTCTGTATGAGACCATAGATGTTCAGAGACTTGGCTGCTTTAAGTCAAATCAGACTCTGCAGACCCGGGTAAACGGGCTTGGAGCTGGAGAGACCCGAATGCTCAAGCAGCCAGGCTTCACTGGGGGGGCCACGAGCCTCTCCTCCTGCTTTGTCAGGACTGGTGGGACCCCACTGAGATTGCTTAAAGTGCTCAGGCATGGCTCTGGGGAAAACCAGCTCAGGTTTCCCTTGGTGGGGTTTGGCTTCAGATTGTTCTCATGATGTCAACCAATCTTTTAAAAACTATAATTTCAACAGCCCTTACATGCAGAAACCAGATGGATCACATAACCATCTCCCACGTACAGGGCCCAGTGTGAATAGGGAACACGTGAAATCTCAATTAGGTCTCCAGGCTTGGGTTCTTCATGACTCTGCAACAACAAAAAAACCAGGAAGGTGTAGACAGACTTGTAGGCCACGGCAGAGACCCTGCCTGGGAAGCTGCAGCTCGGCCTGGGGACCCCCTTGCTGATGTTAATCACCTGGTGAGAGCCTGGCAGGGGAAGAGCTCCTGGCCCCAGTGGGGTCCTCAGCCTGCTGTAGCTTTTAGAGGTTGCCCCATGAGAACTGGGAGCCTGGAAACTGGTTGCCTCGAACCTGTAAGCCTGGAAAAATAACCTTGTACGTTGGGAGAGTGGAGATTTGCTCAGTGTGTGTATGTTATGTGTGTGTGCATGTGTCTTGTGTGTCTCCGTGTATGTGTGTGTCCTGTGTATGTTGTGCATGTGTGTGTGGTATATATGCATGTTGTATGTGTTGTGTGTATGTCTTATGTGTGTCTTATGTGTCTCTGTGTGTTGTGTGTATGTGTGTTTTGTATATAAGTGTATGCCGCATGTATGTGTGTTGTGTGCCAATGCCTGTATGTTGCGTATATGCATATTGTGCATATGTATGTTGTGTGTGTGTTGTGTGCACACACACACTAGGATGCAGATGTGCACATGCAGGTGCACTGTGAACATGCACAGAGTGTGTTGACATTACAGCTGGCATGGAGAACGCATTCCCAATGCTGGGGTCCCAGGCACATCCCCAGCAATGTCAATTGAGTCTTGAATTTCTCTGCCCTTTGCACACTGACCCTCAGGTCACCATCACGCCTCTTGTCCTGGTCATCCATGGCTACAGCAGGCACCTCCTCACACTCTGCCCCCTCCATTCCCAGGATACCCATCTTCGGAGATGCCCACCTGAGAGACGAGAACTGACAGCATCCTGATAGCACCTGAACCTTCAAGTGGGGTTTTTTGGAACCGCCCAGCTTTGTGAAATGGGAGAAGCTGGGGACTGCCACACTCAGGGCTCTGCTGGCACTTGTCCTACCATAACTCCATCCTCACACCGCCCCAGGGGGAAGGAAGCACCACCCAATCGCTCAGGTGGGGAAACTGAGGCTCACAGAGGTAGAGAGACTTGTCCAAGATCACTCATCTGGAAGTGGCCAAGCTCTGTCACATCTCTCTGTCCTGATTCAGCCCTGCCTCCCTCCCCTTCCCCGCCTCCTTCCTGCTCCCCAATGTCCCCAGGGCACCACAGCTTCATGATTTGAACATTTTTCAGTTTTTTCCCTCTTTGAACCTTACAAAAACAAAGGACGAATCTCCTCCAGCCCTCGTCCCAGCCTATCTAATCTGAGACCTGAGACCAGGGGTCAGTTTCCCTTTGCGTTCTTTCTCATGCCAATATCCAACAGATATTGACCCTGGAAGTTTCTCCCCATTAACTCTGTCGTCCATCTTCTGCTCACTTTTTTGGTTCAGGGCAGCCCAGTCCCTGCCTCTGTGACCCCCACTGTCCTGCACCCTGCTTCCTGTCCCCACCACTCCATGCCCAGTCTCCCCAACACCCATTGTGGCTTTCTCAAAGAATGTATCTGGCAATGACCTTCCTCTGGCCTCAGGGCACAGGCAGACCCTTGTGCAGCTGGCTGGCCCCTCATGCCAGGCCCTTCCTCACCCTCCTCGCCCCCACTGTGCTCTGCCCCCCAGGTTGACTGGGTGACTTGCCCTTTCCCTCCCACAGAGCTCACTCTTGCTCTGCGCCTCTGCACAACCGCCTCTGTCCGCCCCCGACCACCTTCCCAGGCCCCGCCTCCTCTTCTGCCCCATCAGACACCTCTCCTCTGAGAAGTTTCCCTGATTGCCCAGCTGCCACGCTGGGTCCCCAGGCCCCCGGGACCTTTACCTCTCCCCACTTGGATCATGTGTTGCTGTGGTTCCCTGTGCTCTCTGAACCCCCTCAGTGCTCGAGCTCTGGTCAGGGAGGATCCTATATTCTCGTCCTCCCTCCCTCATCCTGGGATCCAGCTAAGGGCCTGGCTTGGAGCGGGAAAAAGCAGCTGTGTGAGGAGGAGGCCTGGAGGGTCAGTGGGGCCAGGACTCCTGCCCACCTCCTCCTCTCTGTCAGCCAGGGCAGGGCGGGCCCAGAGACGGTCTCCATCTGGGGAGCACGAGGGGACTAATCACTCTGAAATTAAAAGTCTAATTAAGGCAAGGCCTGGGTCCTGTCCTCCGTGGCAGGTGGCAGAGGAAATGTGAGCTTGGGCCCTGCCTGGATAAGGAAATGTCTCCCCAGGCATTGATTTTGTTTTGGCCGCAGTAAAGCCCTCCCTAGGATCAGCTGACACAGAGCGGGTTACACTCTGGCACGTGCAGTGCACCTTCCCAGAACTGCCTGATTTCCTGTAATAGCTCATCTAGCTTGTTCCTTTTCAGCTGCGTACTGCACTTTAGTTTTTGAGGCCCATCTTCAAGTTAAAAGTTGCCAGATGGTTTCCACAGCCCAGGTCTTTGCCCTCAGCGTCTCCTCTTATTATTTCACATGCAGGACCTGACTATACATCCTTCCTGAGTGGCTTTCCCCTCAAGGCCTCTGTTGTCAGGTTTAATCACCACTTGAGCAGCTGTTTGCATTGATACAGTCTGAAAGGTGTTCCACTAGGTCTGGGATTTGGTTCATAGTTTTGCCTCACAGATATTCCTAGAGTCCTTTCTCGTGCTAACAAGTAGTCTTTACTTTTACTGTGTAAAATTTAACAGTGTTGAGTATATTCACGGATATGTATAAGCAGCAGCACAACAGGTTTACAATGTTCTCATGACCTTAAAAAAAAAGCCTCATGTTTTTAGTTATCACCCTGCGAGCCCGCCACCCCCTTCACCTGCGCTCCTAGGCCTAAGAAACCACACCTACTTTTTGTTGATTTGCCTGTATTCGATATTTCATGTAAGTGAAATCATACAATATGATGAAACAGGTAAAGAGTTAGCAGGAGTGAGCTTAAAAATTAACTGCTTGTCTCTGAATCCTACATCTAGCTATGGGAACACAACGGTTCCCAGAAGAAGCCAACTGTAACCGCAATGCCCTACAATCTGACAAGCACCCTATATCCTGCTTAGAAAAATATAAAATCCCAGCTAACCAGAAACTCAGCTCAGCTATCTGCTCTAGGCTCTGCCCGGACAACACTTCTGCCAGTGTTTCTCTTCTTAAATAAATCTTCTGACTTCTACCCCTGTGCTTCGTGGGTTCTTTCACAACCCATGAGCGACCACGGCATAATATGTTGTTTTTTTTGTTTTTTGTTTTTTAATTTCAAAGCTTCTCCTTTTTTTCATTTATTTTTCAATACTGTTTTATATTATGTTAATTTCAGGTGTATGATGTAGTGGTTAGACAATTATATAATTTCAGAAGTGATTCTCCTGACTAATCTAGTACCCACCTGGCACTATACATAGTTTTCGCCATATCATTGACTATATTCCCTGTGCTTTACTTTACATCCCCATGACTATTTTGTAACTACCAATTTGTACCCTTAATCCCTTCACCTTTTTACCCTGACCCCCAACCCTCCTCCCATCCATCACCCCAACAAATCTAGTCCCCATCTGACACCATACATGGTTATTACAATATTATTAATTATATTCCTTTGCTATACCCTACATGCCTCGATCACATTGTAACAAACAATTTGTACTTCTTAATCCCTTCCCGTTTTCACCCACCCCCTCACCTCACCTCCCATCTAGCAGCCATCAAATGTTCTCTGTATCTATGAGTTTGTTTCTGTTTTGTTCTTTAGATTCCAC